AGAAGACGTAGGGACTATAACTTCTTCCCCTTTGCATGTTCGCAATTGTATTCAGGTGCGTATCTCACTTATATGATCACAGGATGTTATTATTATTTTTTTTAAATCAATTTATTATTGATTTTATTGTATAAGATTGTACAGAACACACTGGAGAATTTAAGTATACTCAGTATGGAGAACTGAAGCCCTGACTACTATATATTATTTGCTTAACTATTTTTGTCATGTTGAATGTTTAACGTATATTTGCGCTCTGAAGGTGGCGTGATGCCTCTGACTATATCCCCTTTGCATGTTCACAACTGTATACAGCCAGAATAAAGCAGTGGACTAAGAGGGTGGACCAAATGCAGACTCCTGTGTAGAGATCGACCGATATATCGATTTACCGATATTTTTCCTGATATTTAAGCATTTTACCATAATCGGTTATCAGTTTTGTAATATTGGGTTCACCGATAAACGCCGCCATCTTGTGGGTGTTTCGAGAATTACGCGCATGATCGCCATTGCAGCACGGCGTCTGAGGGGAAACAACAACTGCGTGCACAGGTAAAGTATACTTACTTGCTTTGCTATATTTAGTAAACTTTATTTAACATAACAGCTATTAATGCACAAATTAGATGTGTTACATAAATGACTGATATGTAGTTTATGCAGCTTGGCTCTAAGAAATAAAGACGAACTCACAGAGTCACATAAGATAATCCGTCAAATCCTGTCACAATAAAGACGTAACTTTGCCTGAATTAAATAATATACAGCCATTAATAAGCACATGTTGTAAATAAAAGCGCTGAATTTAATTCTCTCTCATATTGTCTATATGCTCACCATTAGTAAATTAACATTATCCAGCAAATTATTCTTCACTCTTTAGCCTATAAACAGCTTTATAAACCTAATAAAAACTGTAGTTTAAAATGAAGTTACATTTCTGCAAAGTTGATATGACTCCTATGCTTGAAAACAGACATTCTATATTTATTTTGCTTATTGGTAATGTTAGTGTTGCTGCTCATGCTTTTCTCTGTAGACTCTGTTTTCTACACTACAACCTCGTTCTGCTCAACTGGGAGTATTAAGCTGCATTAAAACAGCAACGTAATTTTTTTTCCAAGTGGCTAAGAATGTTACATGTTTTTTTTTTTTTTTTTTAACTCATTGAAGATTTTATTTTTGAACAAAAACACTTCAGTAACAGTGCACTTCTTGTATTTTTTGCACTTTCAGACCCCTCTTA